GACAAAACAATAAACAGTTTTGCGCGGACGAGTACATTTACTTTATCTGAATGATTAGACTGCATCACGGTGCAACGATACCTACCTAATTGCTCGGTCGAGGCACTTCTTTGATCATTACAAAATTTACAGATCGGCTCGGTGACCATGCTACGGCTGAAGCTCGGCTCAGGACTCGACACGGTCCATCGTCACTGATCATCCTTAATAGATTTGTTAGCTGCCAAATCTAGTTGGTACCCATATTTAAATTTAATTTTATAAGTGATAGCTTTCCCTGTCGTTTTGCCAAAAAAAATACTTGGCGTTTTCTAAGAAAAAATATGATTCCTAATGTTCTCCCACCAGATTTAATTTCTCCAAGTTCTTATTTTCCCCCTAAATAAGGACAAACACTCCCAATCTAGAAACCCTAAGAACCACAGAGTAGGCAAGTATTCACTCTTTAATATTGATTCATAATTTCTCATACAGTAAAATAACAAACTTAAGTTAAGTTTCCATATTTCAAAGATGATGAAGAACAACAAAGAATTACTGAAATAAGTCAAAATCACTGAATAATATATAATTATTGCTAATTTGAGTAAACCGATAATTACCGGTTCAAAGCCTTTACATAATCTGTGAATTCAATTTAGATGCTCGTTTACTGCTGTCAACTGTGTTTTTAATTTAGTTAGTTCGCAATTTCAGAATACCAATACTCTAAACCTGAACTAAAATTAGCTCTCTAATTTTAAGTTTAGGTTTAGAGAATGTAACGTCAGAATCGGTCCCAATATATATGTATACGACTGAAGGACTTGTATCCATGGTCATGAATAATAAAAAAATGACAATCTGTCAAAAAAATAACCTCTAAAACAGAATATTTTGCCATTTTTCAAAATTATACGTTTATTTTAAAATGTTACTCACAAGAATAACAAGAAATTTGTATAGTTCATTCAAAATCCGTTTCAAAATTTTACCACGGTGTTTGGCTACAAGTCTCGATAGCTCAGATACGGTTGATCTAGCATACGCCTCTTATGAAAGCACAGCTGATCCTGAAGGGCCTGCGCATCCACCGCTAGTTATTTTGCATGGATTACTGGGTTCTAAAAATAACTGGAACAGTATGAGTAAAGCCATACACCGAAAAACTGGAAGGAAGGTCATAAGCGTTGATGCTCGTAATCACGGTGATAGCAGGCATTCATCTCAACACACGTACATTCACATGGCTCACGATGTCTTGAAACTGCTGAAAAAGTTGGAGTTATCTAAGGTTTCCCTCCTCGGGCACAGCATGGGTGGCCGCACTGCTATGGTTCTGTCTCTACTCTGTGTAAGTCATGAGTAGGTATTGTTATTATTAGCGTTGAATAAACAACTTTTTTCTTCTTCATTAACAAAATGTATTATCGATTATTATATTCTGCATTCCAATAGTTTTAGTTAACTTTCTTTTAAATTCTTGTCTGTTTTAGTCCGACTTGGTCTCAAGCCTCATCATAGTGGATATATCACCTGTTAAAACTAGTCCGCAGATCTTTTCAATGGCTAACCTGTTTGATGCCATGTCATCAGTGATGATCAGACCTGGTATAGCAATGTCTAAAGCACGCAAACTGGCTGATGAGCAATTGAAGAACATTACACCTGATGTGAACCTGAGAAACTTTCTTATCACCAATTTAGTACAAACTAACACTGGTGCATATACGTGGAGAGTGAATCTTCCAGCTCTGAAAGACAGTTTTCAGTCCCATATATCTAGTTTTCCTTCACATTTAAGGGGCCTCCAATACTGCGGACCTACACTGTTTGTTGGTGGAACTCTGTCAGATTATATAGGGTAAATTACTGCATTTTTCAAAAATTATATTTAATTCCTTATTTTATATGAAAGGATTCAATATTTCTTTAAATTAACCCTTTCACCGCTATAAATCTCTTTTTGCCTTCACTAAGAAAGATAATTACAATTTATACATTTACTTCTTCTTTAAAACATAATAATGCATTAACAATCAAATAATGAAGAATGAAGGTGCAAAAATTTTTTTTTATTCCAGGAAAAATGACTTGAAGGAAATTCAGGAGTATTTCCCCTTAGCAGAGCTAGTGTTCATTGAAGGAGCTGGGCACTGGGTGCATAGTCAAAAGCCTGAGAAGTTCCTAGAAACTGTATGCCAATTTCTCTCTAATAAATAGATATTGAGTATTTGGTACAAAATTTATAATTATGATTCTCAACAAACATGCCCTAGCCTAGTTAGAACAAATTTACCTGTGATTTATACATATAGCAAAATTTTATTTGTTGTTAAAATAGTTATAATATACCTATCGACTGACAATTATTTAAAATTTAGTTTTATTTTTCATGTCATTATACACAACATAATATTCCCTCCTCCCTTTTATATAAACACATATTTCTTTTCAACAGTGAAGCTTTTTGTTTATACGAGGTACAGCAAATTACCGCACCCCACCTGATGTTATGTGGAAGTGGAGTCCAGTCGCGAATACAGATAATGCGGCAGAAAGTATGCTACTCCAGTCATTCTCACCTTGCCAGCCTGAACCCAATCCCAAGGTTTGGAATAATTGGTAACATTTCATAATATTTATCTGTGTGTGTTCACACAGTCCCAAACTAATCATGGCTTGCACTCGCCCTATATTATTATAAACTAACTTCCACCTGCGATTTTGGTCTATGTTAACTAGTTTTTTTAGTACCTATCCTTCAGGAACCTCACACGCTTTCCCCTGGTTTCGTTTTCACGTTTTGCCGTTTTTGCGTGATTGAGCAACTTTTGCATTTAAGTATAATATTTTACACATATATAGGATTTAAGTGCGCTGCGCTTTTGAAGGATCCCAAAGTCTATAATAAACGGTTATAGTTTCGCTATGTCCGTCCATCCGCAGCTCAGCTAAGACATAAATAGTGTAATTCTAGTCTAGATATTGGATGTAGGTACAATATAAAAATCGGGTTTAGGTAAGGTACAGTCAAAAAACTCTTGGCTGAACTTTATTGACAAATTAGTCACACCCCGGCGATTTTTTTAACAATACGTATGGGGCGGGGCATTCCCCTACGCTGATAAGCAAGAACGCCCTGATGCAGTTCAGATGTACCCCGAAATGTTACCTATAAGTACAGATCTCTGTTTGTGATGAGCACCTAGGTACTTAAGACTGATTTTAATATTGTTAAAACATCCTTGAGGCTAAGAACTCACGGAGCGATATTTGCCCGCGTATCATCATAATAACAATTGCCCCAAACACAAAGTCTTTTACGAGGTCACTTTATACCGGCCAAAATTCATCAAAATCAGTTTAACGAATTAGTGATGAAAGTGTAACAGTTTACATTTGCACTTTTAATTAGGATGGCTGGAAATTCACTTGTGAAACAAGCAAAAATATAGAGCATCTTACTACACCGAAATTAATCCTATTGTTTAGTAAACGGAGCAAGCGCCTTGGGATAGATTACCGCGATCATCATAAGCAATATAACGGTACAGCAACCACCATTTAGCTGATCGGGGGCCAAACTTACCGGTATAGGGTAAACTAAGCGTTTGGCTTACCCAGTAGCCCTATTCACTAACAGTTGTTGACAGATTGTGGATGCAGTGATGAAGCGTCAGAAAATTTTATATACGAGGCGCGATGATGTACATAATTCGAATACCAGAAATAAAGATAAACTCAAATTGCCACCGTTGAGACTCCAAAAGGTTCTTGGTTCATTTGTGGGTCAAGGTATATATTACTATAATGAAATACCAAAAGAAATAATTTATTTATCTTTTAATAAGTTTAAAGTGTGTATAAAAATATGTTTCCTTAAGAAAGGTTACTATGCTGTTAAAGATTTCATAAATGATAAGTCACATTGGGCTTAATATAATAGGAAGTCGTTTTAATTTGCTAATTTGGTTGAAAATTGTTTAATCGCTACTTCTAAATTTAAAAATAGTACCTAGCTGTACTTAACTTTTGTTAATTAATAATATTAATGTTATGGAAATTGACATCAACACGTTTTCAATTTTTGATGTCATCTTTCAATTGACGACACTGTATGAAACAAAAAAGGGAGAAAAAAATAGCCCTTGCTGAGTTTCTTGCCGGTTCTTCTCAGTACAAGGTCTCCCGCCGTAGATTTACGAACCGATGGCGTAGCGTCTGACTTTCACAACAGCTTGTAACAGCCTAAACTGAATAAATGAGTTTGAGTTTGATGATCACCGAGCTATTTACATGTAGGCCTATTCGTTGACAGATGGAAGTGATAATCACCGAGATATTTAGTGATCCACTACTGCTTTATTATAACGCACCTTAGATACTTCTCCTGAAAAGCATCAATGGATATGCAATTTTCACTTCAGTTACACACTGTATCTAAATGTCAAAAAAATGCGAATAGGCCTACAGTAAGGGTTCCGTACCATCGTGTGTTTCTATAAAGATTCGCAATTTGGGTGTTAAAATAAGACACTTTAATATGAATTGAGTGTTTATGTTTTATTGATTTCTCTGATAACATCTCTTTTAGCGCAAACCCTTTTTCTAAAGTAAGACAAAATAATTTACATCAATGGGCAAGTGTTTTGGCACTAATTCAAATAACAAGTACAACATACGCATAATTATATATAACTTGGTTGAGAAAGAGAAATTATTAGAATAGAAATAGACCCAAGCTAACACTAATGATTTAGGGTTTCAGTTAATAGCTCACTAGGCTATACTATATAAATATTTCCTATACTAAAACAATCTAATAAGAATAGTAAAAACTAGATACAGTACTGAATATACTCGTAGACTCGCTACCATTTTATTCCTGAGCGAGTCTTTCATTTCTATCTTGGAAAATATCATTCTCATAGTCATACATACCTCAATGACTTCACATTTGGCAAATCCCAAATGGGTTCGACAAGGAAATCATATACCTACCTAACTTCCTAAGAGTTCGGTCTATAATGATGACCTATAAGAATAAAAGTGTCAGACACCTATAACTGTTTCTGAACACACCCTACCGGTTGATGCAGTTAGCATAAAATGAGTATATGGAATATGCTTTCTTTCGCAGGGCAAGTTTGTGGAATTTGCTTGCGACCATCGTCCTGTATAGGTATTCACCTATTTCGCCTGTCGAAAACTAAAAGAATTTCATTTGTCGCAATTGCGCTCTTATCTCTTCCGCTAAACGCTCCATTATCTTTTGTTTTTAAAGGACATTAGGTGTTACCGCAATGTCTAACTGTATGGTCTGATAGGAATTCTCTCACGAGTGTTGTGGTTTTTTGCACCCGGTATTTTATGCTCCCCAAATGACTACAAAGTATAAAAAGAAATGCTAGTTAACAACGAGCACAATCCACTTCACAGTTCCTGTGAAGTGAGTGAGTTATTTAAAAATAGTTTATTTCATTTAAAATTTCAAGATGGCACAGTTGAAAAAGAGCTTCGAGTTGCTGTTTGATCGGCCAAACGAGCCCATGATCACTCCAAAAGGCGAGGAGAATGCTGTCTTTCAACTGACTGAACAGCTTTTGGTAAGTTATAATAATTTGGATTTGACTTTTAAAGAAAGAAGTATCAAATGTCCATTTCACTTTAAAAAAATGACAAGTTTCATGTTCATATCATACCTAATTTTAACTTTTTTGTACACAGCCAAAAGAGTATGAAAACAATGGCATCGAGTTAAACAACCGTTTCGGTGACGATGCCAGCGAGAGAATCCCTCTGCAGAATCTGAGTAGTATACCGCAGTTTCCTATAGCGTCGCAACTACCTACTGACGCAGACTTCTCCTTATTTCTGCCACGCCACCAGGATATGGCTGCCGAAGTCATTGACGTTCTCATGGGTAAGACGAAGTAGGGACATCTACCGACAATCTTTAGAACTGATTTAGTCAATCAGTGCCCGAAATAATACCGCAATAGTAACTTGTACTAAATCTATACTAATATTTATAAATACGGACGCGCACGAAAGTGTGTATGTCTGCCTGTTACCTACCTCTTCACGCTTAAACCACTGAACCGATTTATATGTTTGGTATAGAGGCCTACGATCAACAATTATTTAGATAACGGGTCAGCGCGTAAAATTCGTCTTGGTAAATATAGCTTCACTTAAGGTGTGAGATCTTATTTTAAATTAGTTCGCTTAATACAAAACGAAGTTACTCCCAGTGAGTAATGATGTTAAAAATATTTTATTTTGTGGGTCATAAGGTTGATTTCACATTTTCCGTTTTTCACCTTTATCGTTTTTTCCAAGTATCAGATATACCTAATTTGTTTAGGGTTTTAAATTGACTTGTTCGTTTTAAAAGATAAAAGGTCGTATGTACGAAGTAATATTTTGTTATTTGTAACCTTATTCCTTTTTGAGGTAGAGTTTTAAAATATTTATCTTTGTTCATTGGGAATCAAATGTAGCTGCATAAGTTTAAACATACCCACGCCACAGAATATATACACTGCCCACGCGAACAGTTTTTAACTTTGATTTTGTATGCAACCCGTTATCTATAGAATTGTTGATCGAAGATAGAGACACGGGAAAGAAAATAATAGTTTTGTTCAAGAAATCATCCTATAAGGGGTTCGAAAGGGGGATAAAATTTTGTTTGGGAAACCAATTTTTCCACGCAGACGAAGTTGTCAATAGTAATTCATAATGTAATATTATTATTATTGAGACAACCTTCGTCGTCGAGTGGTTGGCATGTCGGTTTGCAAGGTATCGCCATTTATGTAGTTCCGGCTTCGATCCCGATAGGGTGCTTGTTGTAGGAACTGTTGTTTCAATTTATATAACACAAGTTCTTGCTCATTTACTTGTAAGAACTTATTATATGTTTAACTAAGGGGTGCCCGCGAAGTCGGTTGTCTGCGTAGAAATATTAGTATCACATACGAAAATTCCTAGCTCTATTTAAACCCCTTGCGGATTCAGTGTGAAGAGGTAACAAACAAATACACTTTCGTGTTTATAATATTAGTATCGATTCACATACTTACAAAACCCAGGACCTCAGAGGGCCACAACATAACTATTTAAGTTATTATCTTGTCTATGGAAATAACTAAATATGAACCCAAAATTAATAAAAAGTCAGGAGTTCAACCACATTCAATGTATTCATAATTACAGGTACAATAAAAAATCACTATCCCAATAACATTTAGAGGGGATGATATACCTATTAGAAATAAATATTTATTTTTATAGTATAAACTATTGAAATTATTTCTCCAGGGGTTCCCACTGACCAGCTACAAGAATTACTGTCAACTTGTGTATATGCAAGGTCCAATCTCAACCCTCAGCTGTTTAACTACTGCTACTCTGTAGCCTTAATGCACAGGTAAGGAAATGTGTCTTACACAAACATTCATTATTTTATAGTTCCTTGTTTTTGGTTTTTGACAATGATTTGAATTTGGTTGTGTTACAGGAGAGACACCCGAGACATTCAAATCCCTAATTTTGCCGAGACCTTCCCCTCAAAGTTTTTGGACTCTCAAGTATTTGCCCAGGCCCGAGAAAGTGCTGCTGTAGTACCATCTAACATCCCGGTAAGCTCATTCAGAACTTTTACTAATCTTTTTGTCTTTACCACTGCCATTACAACAATTGTCACATTTCTTATCTGTTCCTGAGCAGAGCATAGGTTTATAATTTGGAGTCCATGGACCAAGACTATCATTTGAATAAAAGTCCATTGGATAGGTGCCATCTTCCATTAGCCACTTGCTATTCCCTAATGAGACTGAAAACTCATATGGTGTCAACAGAGGTTTAGGAAAGGCAGTTCCCCAGTCGATCGAAAGTCTCGGACAAGCCACTTGAACAAAAGCATCTAAATTAAATAAAGAAAGTTTACTAGGAAAGATTTCAGACAGAAGTATCTTCACATATTTTTTATCTGAATTGCTAATTTGCTTCTCTAGGTTAGATAATACTTTTGGGCTCCCTTGCCTTCCTAAAGTTCCTAGAATCAAACCAAAGGTACCTGCATTCTCTGCTGTTTTTATCTGGTTCATTCTATTAGTCTGCATTAATTGATGCTCATAAACTTCTGATGTAAACTTTTTATCATACGGATCATATTTGTAGGCAGCAATAGTTGGGTTTGATATCATTATGGATTCTAGATGGAATCTACCATCACCTAAGTATACTATCACATCTGCAGTTAACTTAGGGGCAGTACAACCAAGTATCTCACCAGGAGACAAAGGCTTACATTGAGGAACCGTAACAATGTATTCTTCACTACGAAGATTTTTAGCTACCGAATGCAGAGTTGTGACAAATTGAATTGTACTAACTAAAGCTAAATGTGTACCCTTTGGAAAATTAAATTTGATAGTTTCAACAAAATGGGATGGATCAATTTTTATGTCCACAAATACATAAAGAATTTTAACATCAGTTGTTTGATCTATTGGAATTAGACAGGAATGACCATAGTGTATCAACAAATCAACTCCCAGTGCCACAGCCGTGAAGTCGTCGATACAGCATGCTCCATAAGTGACATCGCCCATAATCACAGTATCTGCTTCAGTGAAAGTTTCAATTAAGTCACATATTGTTGTGGCGAACATTGTCAAGCCTAAAACAAAAAAATACTGTAGTTCATACCTAGAAAACGTATTTTTTCTACTTTATCATACAGATTATCGAATTTACCTTCCGGCATTTGAAGAGCGACTCTCTTCGCATGCAGAGATCGTATTCTCCAAATTGTCTTGTGAATCTCAAGGTTATAGTTTTTAGGTAATGAATCACAAGCTCTGTTTAACAGAGGGTCATTGAGTATATCGTCTGGAATTTTGTTCAATGATCTCACGTTTGGTTTAAAAGTTTTTCTCTGCCCTTCTGGCTTGGCACGAACCACAACTACACCAGGATTCAGAATTACGTCTTCCATTTTGAATTGCTGCACTAAAGCTTCATTTCTTTATTGAACTAATTCAATTATTAATAAACTTTAGGTTATTTTATAAAGAAAACAATAACACGCGCACTACACAGAAAACATCTGGCTAGCTCCTTTGCTGGCTCCGGGCAGTGTTCCAAACCTATGCTCCAGGTACAGCAACTGTCAAATCAGTCATAAGTTTCATACATTTTACATCAAAATTTAAACGTCATTGTTAAAAGTTGCACTCATAGCGTAGGTTTAGAACGCAGCTCTGGACTACGTGACTTTTGCAATTTTTAACGTTTCATTTCACCGCTTATGAATGTTGTGTGGACTTTATGAAATCATTCGGCACAACCAATCTGGCCGCGTCGCCCGTTTTGCTGTATGCAACCAATAGATTAAAGATAGTGAATTTAAACTTAATTTGTTAAAATTATAGGTAAATGGAATTTTAATTGTGGAACCTTTTTATTTGACAGTTAATTTTAACTATCTTGAGTAGGTACTCGCTTTCATATTTTTTTCCGTTCCGTTCCGTCCGATCGTTCCGTTTTAACCTTTTACTTCTATGCTCATAATTAATTATCCAAAGACCTAAGAGTATTATATTGAATAATATACTTAAAAACTCCCCTGCTGATAGACTGATGTAAGGTATAAAGGAATACAAAAATAAAAATTATTTTTTAAATTATGGTTTAAATCTCAAAGATTACACACTTAACTTCTCTATTCTAGCTAACTTTCCAGTACAACTACTAAAAACCTAGTAATTACTGATACCTACCATAATGATGCTGAATCAGATCAGCGTCATTACAATCAGCATTGTTGGTGCAGGCTGGCAACATATCACTATTGTTTCCGTATAACATCATAGTTTGATCGTGAATGCGATCAATGCTGAGTGGCAGATTCGGCCTTTGGCTAATCCTAGGCTTCCCTTTCGCTAAGCTATTCCTTGAATCGCAACTGTTGTACAGTGAATACCGTCCGCTGTATACAGCCCCTACCTTACACAAATGTACCTCCTTGATCTACCTCAGAAATAGAGCACGAGATCCTGCTAGTTGGACAAATGTAGCGTTGCGAAACACGCGTGATTAAGCGTCTTGGGATGGGGTACCAAAGGGGTGCCAACGGAACCTTATCACTGGCCTAGGCTTTCCGTCCGCCTATCTATCTTAAATAAGTTTTAAATATTTAACTACCCCTGTCTGTTAATATTGATAAGGTTGCGTGACCAAGAGTGTAGGTAGTTACAACTCATTTTACACTATCTCGGAACAACCAAATGTACATAGGGAAATACAACTCCATTACTTAGATTTATAGGTATTTTTTTGTTCTTCTAGCGCACTCCTATCATTATTCCCCGCGATTACACAGCTACAGACTTGGAAATTGAACATCGTATGGCATATTGGCGCGAAGATATCGGCGTCAATCTACATCACTGGCACTGGCATCTCGTATACCCATTCGCCGCTGCTGATAGATCCATTGTTGCAAAAGACAGACGTGGTGAACTGTTCTTCTATATGCATCAGCAAATAATTGCTCGGTAAGTTTCAATACTTAGCCCACCTCCGAAAAATATACTCACCATAAAACATTTTGTTCTAAAAAGGTACCATATTTAATTACTTATCCTACACTCCACTCCTCGTACACGATAAATATGGTCTAAATTGTCATTTCTTGTGATTAACAGTTACAACGTGGAGCGTCTCTGTAACTCTCTCAAGAGAGTAAAGAAATTCAGCAACTGGCGCGAACCAATTCCTGAGGCCTATTTCCCTAAGCTTGACAGCCTTACGTCTTCGCGCGGTTGGCCTCCACGTCAGTCCAATATGACCTGGCAGGACCTGAACCGTCCCGTCGACGGTCTGAATGTCACCATCGCTGACATGGAAAGGTGGAGGAAAAATCTCGAAGAGGCTATCGCTACCGGTACATGCAGATTGGTGAGTCGATCTTAATATTTCGAAGTCCAAATACCTACTTTAAGTAAATAATTCAGACACATTTTGAATTTGCGTAAAATATCGTATTTTTGTCGTTTAGATTTATGATCACTGACATAACCTAGTTATAAATTGAGGTTTAACATGTAAGTACTTAAACAAATAGAAAAAAAACTGATAATGTTTTTTATTTCTTAGCCTGACGGCAGCACCATCCCATTGAATATCGATATCCTAGGCAATATGTTGGAGGCCAGTATCCTGTCGCCAAACCGCGACTTGTACGGCAGTGTGCACAACAACGGACACAGCTTCTCCGCATACATGCACGACCCGCAGCATCGCTACCTCGTACGTACAAAGTGCTTATATTTATTAAAAACAACAATTTAGACGCTCATCAATAAATGTATGAAGTTAACTAACAATCATAAACCCAACGACATGAACCTGGACATTAGCTGTAAATGTTTGAATCCTAGATGACAAGTAATTGTCATATTTTTATTATTAAGGTAGACGTTAAAATCTAAAGAAAATTTTACTAAATCGACGCGGACCAGCCAGACACCGGGATTAAAAATATTCAATAATAAATGTGACCTAACAACTCTGTTATGTTTAATCAATATTTATTTCATGGTTTTGTCCTTTTTGTTAGGAATCATTCGGTGTGATAGCGGACGAGGCGACGACAATGCGTGATCCCTTCTTCTACCGGTGGCACGCGTGGATTGACGACTTCTTCCAAAAGTACAAGGAATCTGCCTCAGTCCGTCCTTATACTGACTCTGAAGTAAGTTGGCGTAATAGTTATGAAGCCATCATTATTTTTATAACTAGTACTGCAATATCACTGTTATACTCCAGATTTGTCAGTGGTTGGTGGGTAGTATAAGCACAATACACTAGAGCAGTAGCATAAGGGCGCTTTCAATTTATGCGTTTCTTGACGGCCTGCTGCGGTGCCGAAACGGTGCGTTTGTCGTACAGCATACGGACGATCCTTTTTTTTCACACAAAACGCGCGGTGCGGCAACAATCCTGTTGTCGAGCGTTCGCGGTACCGGCGCCGCTGTATTTTTTTAACTTAAAATATAAATGTTTCCCACGTATAATATTTTGTAATACTGCTTGTTTGGGTGTACAGAATGCGTAGTTTTAGTCTTTGTCATAGATTTTTTTACACCTTGTATAAACATTTCCTAATCGGTACTTGCTTAAATTTATAAAGGATCGGCTCAGCCTCAGTGCGATTTTACTCTTTCCGCGTTTCATAGCTTAGACGTCGCTCATCATTTAAATTAATTTTTCAGCTCGCCAACCCAGGCGTTCAAGTAACGTCGGTGTCCATACAGACGCAGGGTGGGCAACCCAACGAGCTAACCACGTTCTGGATGTCCAGCGATGTGGACCTGTCGCGGGGACTGGACTTTTCCAACAGGGGACCAGTATATGCACGCTTCACACATCTTAATCATAGACCCTTCCAATATGTGTAAGTTTCACCAACATCTATACATATCATAAAAGGGTAGGAAAACTAGGAAATTAAAACTGTACATTGTATTTAAAAAAAAAGTATACTGGGGTTGTGGCCTACAATCGATACCGAAGCCAAAAATATAGTTTTTAGAATTTTTGTCTGTATGTATGTCCGGGATAAACTCAAAAAGTACTGCATGGATTTACTTCAAATTTGGCAAGAATATTATTAAGAAGTCAGGTCAACATATAGGCTATATATTATCACGCTATCACCTACGGGGAACGAGCAGTGAACCTTTATTTCTAACTAGCTCCACGCGTACGAAGTCGCGGGCGGCCGCTACTATTGAATATCAATGCTCTTTATAATAATAGTTACTCTTACGATTAAAATTTAAAGAAATTAATAGAAACTTTTGCTGCTAGCGGGTTTGAACGACAGACTACCAGTTAATTTTGTGACGTTCATAAGAGAAATCATAGTATCTTTAGATCTAATCTTTAGATTATATCTTTATCCTACCTACCCTACCTATCTTTATAATCATAGACAAGTAGTACAGAGTCATTTATGTGAAAGTAATACCTACCACATTTCTTTCGCTGCTCCCCAAATTCTCAATGATTGTATCGTATTCACAGAATCAATGTGAACAACACCGGCAACGCAAGACGCACCACTGTAAGAATCTTCATCTGTCCCAAGAACGACGAGAGGAACCTGCCTTGGGCGTTATCAGATCAGCGCAAGATGTTCATCGAGATGGACAGATTTGTGGTCCCACGTATGTATTACCTAATTTTCTTTGTAGGTTTTTATTAATCGAAGCATATTTTCGTCAGGGGTATGACTATCTTGGTTTTTGCGAGTCTCCAAAAGGTGACTTTGTATTTACCAGCGGTGGTGTAATTTTTTTTCTCAGCCATCGTTGTATTTGGTACCTTCTTGTTTGTAGCGCTACCTTAGCTGAAGTTAATTATATTTATAATTAATTTTGCCGTAGTAATATAGAAGCTCAATTATGTTATGAGTTTATGATCCTTCAAATGTTAGCTACTGGCCAAGTGAATGTACTTAGTTAACTCTCACGGGATAAGATAGATATTAATCTATCTCTAACGTGTACTGGAGACGATAGGCGACTACTGGCCTTCTTACCTCTTATTTTCTACTCATATTGCCTTTTCCAGCATCATTGCAAGTGCCATGATCACGGTGATAGGGTAGCACCCTCGTTAATGTTTGTGACTATGAAAGGTTAAATCAACTTGTTTCATCATCATTATCATCAACAGCTTATTATTATCTATCTGCAAGAGTGCAGGCCTTCCCTATGGATGGATTAGAGAAAAATTAGGCCATGACCCACCACGCGTGCCCAGTGTGGATTGGTTGGTGCTAACAACTGCAGATGCAGCTGGGACTAGGATTCGTTTCATTTAGGAATTGCAAAAGTCCTGATAAAAATCCTGACATTTCGATAAAAGTCCGGAATTTTTAGTCACAAAATGGTACCATCATTCACTTAGTTACAATGGTATGGCAATTAAATAATATAATATGTACTTTTATTATTCATATTCAATGTATTATAAAAAAAATCGGATAATTCAAAGATCCGGGCAAAGTCCGGACTATTGTATAAAAGTCCGGACTAATCCTGACGGATGGTAACCCTAGCAGGGACCAACAGCTTAATATGTTTTCTATTAATACCTGTTCCAGCACCGTTGCAGGTGCCATGATCACGGACAGAGAAGAATTCTCAATGGAAGTTTAAATCAACCTGGTTATTATCCACAGTGAACGCCGGCCAGAACATGATCACCCGCCAGTCGTCGGAGTCGACGTTCACGATTCCGTTCGAGCAGACGTTCCGCGACCTGTCCATCCAGGGCCAGGACCCGCGGCGCACGGACCTGGCCGCCTTCAACTTCTGCGGCTGCGGGTGGCCGCAGCACATGCTCGTGCCCAAGGGCACCGAGCCCGGCATGCCCTTCGTGCTCTTCGTCATGCTCTCCAACTACGACCTCGACGCGGTGAGACTAACTGATTCATATAATAAATAGTGCCTATCCTAATCTCCACGTCAACATAGAGGTATAAGAGTAGAGTAGAGGAAATATAGACTCTACTACAAGTGGAAGTGTCCCTCTAATAGAAAGAGAAAGAAGATGAGAGACCGCTAGCTTTTCTCTCTAAATCGCGCATGCGCATTGGCAACCTTGGAAAAATTGAATGCCATGCGTCACAAGAGAGAGACACTCTATTCTTATACATCAATCAATGTGAAACGGTGCCGGTAACCTTACACAGTTCGTGCCATAACGACAAACCTGTCGGCCTATGCGCTACTTAAATTTGACAACAGTGCATCCTTGTCCTTCTCTATACAGAATGGAAGGGTGAGACTGACCTTAAATTTAGTTTTAAGTTTAGAGAATCACGCCAGAATTGACACCAGTGTCTAACTAAAGAGAAAATTGCAAGTCTATATATGCTTTTTAGAACAAGTATCTTAGTGGCGTTATGATGGCAGTAGTAGACATAGAGGTATAAGAATAGAGTGGGGAAGGCGGCTCTAAAAGTGTCCGTCTAGACGAAAAAGAAAGAAGATGAGAGACCGCTAGCTATCTCTCTCTTGTGACGCATGGCATCACATCGAAATAGAAAAATGCTTACGGTTGCCAATGCGCATGCGCGATTAGAGAGAGAAAGCTAGCGGTATCTCATCTTATTTCTCTTTCTATTAGAGGGACACTTCCACTTGTAGTAGAGTCTATATCTCCCCTTCTTATACCTCTATGGTAGTAGATGACCAATTAGCTGGGTGATTACCTATCACATCCGTCTATCAAAAGCAGTTAGCGAACGAAGCGAACAGTCTTGACTTTCAAGTTGAAGATGTCACATTCTTTGAGATAACAACAACAGTATGAGAGAACCAATTAATATCGTTGGAAAGAACACGTGACATAATGAAGGTGAAACATCTAGTCAATTTGATTTTCTAAGTACGACCACGTACGGCTGTATAAATAATTTGCTGATTCACCAATCAGCAATCAGGAGGACCTTTCTATATCAATAAAATACGGTTGTAAATGCCAGAATAGACCAGAATATAATTACGTGGATCCTTCAACTGGAAGTAGGTAAATGAAAGCGGATCCGCTGACATATAATCTTTTGAATAGGTACTTCGAATCGTGTTAGGTGGATAATCGTAAAATAAAAAAAACGAGGGAGCCTTGCCTTACACTAACTTCGGATCGAGTTAGGTGGATAATCGTAAAATAAAAAAAACGAGCGAGCCTTACAGTAGTCGCGCATGATGTGTAACATTTGAAACCTCACCTTATATTAGTAAAAAAAGAAATAAAACCTACTACAAAAGGAATAAGCCATTTAAACATTATGTTCTAAAATCAAATAGCACGCGCTTCCCAAACTTCCTGTTGCACACTTCTGTCCCACTTCACGTAATCACTCCCACAAATTGCACGAAAGCGAGAGGAAAGATGTTACACATCAATAAAATAAAAATATTGAACAATCTTTTTTTCTAATAGATTGAACAACCGGGAACCGGCGAAATGACATGCAAGGAAGCTTCCAGCTTCTGTGGTCTTCGTGATCGTCTGTACCCAGACAAGCGCGCCATGGGCTTCCCCTTCGATCGGCCCTCGCGCACTGTCACCAATATCGAGAACTTCATTCAACCCAACATGGCATTGCAAGATATCACCGTCCGCTTGCAGAATGTCACAGAACCCAATCCGAGGAACCCGCGTACCTAAATTAAGACAAAAATCACTCGCAACATTAACTTTCTTAGTGTTATTTTTACTCCTGATAATATTTTGTTTCATTTGAATGGATTTTGTTGCACGGAATAATGCATTTTTATATTAGTAGGTAACTACGTCGACTTCCAATTGTTGAAGTAGGCTATGCACACTTCGATTAACACCACGAAGTATGCACATGCACCTATTAATTTGTGCATATATATTTAAATATACCTATTAGTTTATTATACATCTTTTGTATGTAACTAAGTAGCATAATATAAAAAGAAAGGCTGATAAATTAATCATAAGAATTAGAGATACGTGTTGTACATATTTAAGAGTAAGTAAATAAATGACCCATTAATAAATATTTATTTATAAATTGATAATTTTGTATTATTCAATATCTCCACGATATGTATCACACTGCAAGAAATATCGATCCAGTAACAACAATATTAACAACCCTGTCTAGTAACTACCTAGGACGTAGCATTTAATTGAGATTGTAGAGCAGCGGATTTGCTGCTTAAAGTGGCGAGTCCGCTGAAATAACCTTCGTTTTACAGAAGACTACAGTGAATTATCTTTGTATTAGTATTGTATTTTTGTAGGTGAATAATGTTTTAGGGGAAAAAAATTCTTTTATTTAAACTTATTTTTTCACTAATCTCTTAATTTCTCAAAAATTTCGCCCCAATACCATAAAGCTTTATTGTTTACTCTTATATTACATGTTAGCGTTCAAATAAAAAAAATCAATGCCCCAACTCTTAAAACACCCTATTTTAGTTACAGTTGAGAAAAGTCAAAACTAAAAATCATGTTTTTTTCAAGTTTAATTTTTTTACAATTACATTATTAACATCAATTTTTTGTCATAAATCTTTTACATATTTTAATTAATGCATCAAATGCTCAAAATGTGCTCCTCGTAGCTGAAGGTACATCGCCACACAAAGATCAATTTGATGGGTTGCTCTGTGCATAATTTGTCGGTCATTTTTAATATCATTTGTGTAGTCTATAAATCTTTGTTGCAATTTCGCTTCAGTGTTTACGTGGTTCTATACACTCTTTGTTTCATGACACCCCATAGAAATAATAAAGTGATGTCAGATCTGGCAAACGTGCTGGCTAGTCCACTGGTCTTTCCTGACCAATCCACCTATTTGCGTAGTTTTCATTTAAAAATTGTTGTACAATTCTGGCGTAGTGAGCAGGGCACCCGTCAATTTGTAAATACGTGCATCCCTGGCATCTTGTTGCTAGCGGGACATCTTCTAACAGAGCTGGTAATTGCTCTCTTAGTAATATTAAAAAACTTTCCAACACTAATATTGAACGCAAAATTACTGGCCCAATTAACAGATCATCAATGAGTACTGCCCATTCATTGACTTAGAACTGCCCTTGAAAGCTCTTTAAATGAGGATTTTGGATTCATAGCAGTAATTTCAGAAGCTCTTCTTGTGGGATGTTGTCACATTCGTCCAATAACAGTGTCTTTGGAACCCTGCAGTTATGCGAGCTGAATCATGAAAACAAAAAAAAAATAGTTAAGATTAATAGATTTTTTTAGAGCAAAAGATCCAATACTCTAAATATAAATCAGACCTATCATTAAATATCATGTGGTTATCAATATATCACATTTAGGCTCGTGTTTGTTATCATCATTATTAGTACTTACAAGGGTTTCTAGCTTGGTATATGTAGCGGCTAACTTCTTAAGCAATACCATAGATAAATAAACATATGTAATAGACTTATTTGTTTCTTAGCTTTCCACGCACACCACTCATTAAAAAAAAACATAAAAAAGTTTTTTCAATAATCAATAAATCAGTGCGTGTACACCATTGAGACTTGTTTTATTTAATGCGTAGTACACATTTTTGTATGTAAAATTTTTACTGCACAGGCTTCCCTATCTATAGCTGTTGCTCAGAGTTTGGTGGGATGTATAGTAAGCAGTAACATGTAAAAAAAATTGTCAGATTATTTAAATAGTTTCAAAACTACTCTCAAGGGATTATTCAATTAATAAAAAAGAAAGTTTAAAGGGCCTTTATGTCTGTCTTGTAAAGATATGTTTAAGTAGTTTTTAGTTACCTTATCAAATAGACAACACCTCCAAAAAGTTATTGACCTGAAAAATAATCATAAAACATCATTGAGCACCAATAGCCAGTTTCTATATTTCTTAGGACTAATTACAATGTCAGACCTATCATTTAATATCATGTGTTGTATCATAGTAACACATTTCGGCTCGTGTTATTGTCATCATGAAGAACTATGAGTTAAATTTAAGTAACACGATGTATATTCAACTCAAATCGACAAGGGCAGGCAATCCTTAGCTTATCGATTCACAAGCAAGCAACCTAACCAAATAATCTTATCTGAAGATAGCTTTGACAAATCTATTGCGTTAAATACCTACCTACTTGAGAAGCTTTTTTTTATCAACTGATAAATATTTAAAAGATTATGTTTAACCATTATACAGGGAGATCATTTAATTAATACATACACGCGTGGGCAGTAAGACCACGTGCGTTTGAACTCGACGATGAAAAATTAGAAGAACCCAATAAATTCGACTGCGTTTTTAAACAAATTATTTAAAATAATACTTACCTAATGGCATAAACGATGAGTAGTAAATTGGTAAATTTTAGTACAAGAAACATTTAGGATTCATGCTTGCTGAATGTTGGATGACCAAAGAAAGAAAATGAATGACTGCTTTTTTATTTTATGGCGGCACTTCACTTCATGCTGGCACTTCATTGGCTATCCGTATTTGCTATTTGCAAACTTGACAACAGTTTGTCCTTATCTCGATTTCCAAGGAATGAAAAGGACAGACTGATATCTAGTTAACATATAGCAAACACGAATATCCAAATCCGACAATACTTGGCTATTAGTATTTGCTATTTGTAAACTAGACAACAGTCTGGCCTTGTCATCCATATAAAGCATGATAAGGATAGACTGTTGTCAAGTTTACTTATAGCAAAAATGAACAGCCAAAGTGAATTGCCATCAATATCCATCTGATTTTTTCAGTGGATTTTTGAAATTATTTTACCCATTATGAGAAGGCAAAAGGTACTGTGCCCATACATCCTATTTTTAAGTTAATTATTAATCTGTACTTTCTGTATTCTTATGGCCGGAGCCAAGACTTCTTTCAGATATCTTCCCTTCAATCTTCTTTAAATTTCAAAAGTACTTCTATATCTTCTTTCTTAGTACCTATTTCTTCTTTTCTTGATAAATTTCTTTAGTATATTCTTTTCTGTACAGTAAGGCCAAAGCTCAGAACAAGAAGTATAGCTCTTACTAGTTCAAACTACTAAGTTCTTGTTCTGAGGGCCGAAGCCACTTCGTTTGTATCAACGAGTATCCATGTTCCATGCTTCAAGCATAAAAAATCGAGAGGTATATCAGAAAGTAGTAGTGTTACCATACCCGTCTTTCCCAGTGGGCACTTTGGGCAAGTGCCCAGGGCCCCGCGATCAATAGGGGCCCCCCTCAGATCAAATACAAAGTCCCTATTTCATAGGGGCCCCGTTATCCTTATATGCCTAGGGCCTCCAAAAGGTCAAAGACGGCACTGAGTGTTACACTATTTATGGGGGTTTGTTCGTAAGTTATTCAATGTTATATAGATATATTGAATCATAATATATTTAAAACCCAAAGAAAACAACAAACTTTCTTGAGTATTCAACATCGTTTTATTTTACTATCAATGAAATGAGTCAATATTTTACAATCTATTATTCATTAGTAAGCTCTGCAAATTACATACAATATTTACAATTCCTTAAGACTAATACTCTTTTTTTATATAATAATAATTATTATTTCAATAATTTTTTGTTCAAATGGAAATGATTTAATTTTGCGCGTACCTCGGGCTTTGAATAGTGACGTCAGCGAGACGAATAGTAACGTCTGCAACAGCCATGTTGGGCGTGAGAAATTCCTGAATGTTGGACGCGGTACGTGAGGGCCGGTCGAACGGAAAGCCCGTGTTACGTTTGTCCGGGTACAGGCGGTCACGCAGGCCGCAGAAACTCGACGCCTCCTTGCAAGATAACTCACGCTTCACATTAGCTTGCTCGACCTAATAAACATACAAGGTGGGTAGGTACATAAAGACTTTTTTAGCGATATTTTTTATGTAACGCAAAAATCTATTGGCTATGGTGGCCGCTTGCCATCAGGCCTGTTTACCACCCTTTTAACATAAAAATAAAGCATAAAGACAAATCAAAAATCCGACAAGATTCCTAGTGACTGTAATTGAAACCTAGGCCACTGTGCGACGAAATAAGTTTTGCTCATTATATCCCCCAACAGAAGAGCTAGGACATAGGTGAATCTAATGCTAGCGGTGAACAAGAAACCCGTGTACGAAATGATGCGAAAGAAACTTCGTATTATTTCACTTTGTTCTCAATGTAGGCTGCGCTTAATTTGTGAATAGTACACGTTAAACTGTGAATGGAAATGGAATTACGCCTAAGCGTTAAGGGGACCTAAGTCTAATATCCAGTTATCGCCTAGTATGTCGGATTTGACAGCTGACCTTAATTTCCACAACAAATGTTTCTTCGCAGCTCGCACGAAGCGATTCCCCAACCTTTGCCAGATCGCCACTCTAATTGGTAGGGGCTAGGGGCCATTGGTCATATCGGTCGAATTTAGCCACTTTAAATCATTATTCGTGCAGTCACGAAAGGCAATTCAAAGACAAAGAAAAATATGATAACTAATTGATTCTTGTTTTATGTATGCTGTTCCTGGGTGCTGCTGTCATCGGCTTTGGGGACCGCGAGATTTTAGAGGGACATTAAGCCGAGAATTGGCGAGTGCCTCAAGAGGTATTCCAGGCGGGTGGTATCTCTCCTCGGGGGGAGTCTCCTCTCCGTCTTGACTCTCCTGTAGACCACACGAACCTGAGGGGTAACAAATTGAGTGCTCTCAATTTACCTTGTCAAGTTCGTAATTGGACACCATCACGAAGAGCGTGAACTTCATGCCGGGCTGGGTGCCGCGTGGTACTAGCATGTGCTGCGGCCACCCGCAGCCACAGAAGTTGAACTCTAGGTGCTGCGGGTCGCGGCGACTATCACCCGACGCGTTCACGCGCGACAGGTCGCGGAACGTCTGCTCGAACGGGATTGTCACCGTAGACTCGCTCGACTGCCGCACGATTGTATTACTACCGGGACTCACTGGTAAGAGGAGGAAGAGGAGGATAAATCATTCCAGCTTTTAGTTAGCGACATTGTGCATGCAAAAGTGAGTGTAGGTGTAGGTAGGTACATTTCTGT